TGTTGGACATGCTTTCTGCTCACGGCTTCTCCGCGGTGAACAGCTCGAACTTGCCCTGGATCAAACCAAACTCGGTCTCAAAGAGATTCACGAGCCCTCCCCCTTGGAAGGGCTCCGCTACCGTGCAAGTCCACGGCTCGAGAGTAGCTGTCAAGCTCTAGTGCAGGGTAAAGGCAGGTGCTGCTGGATTCCACGTAGTGAGGCGATGGCGTCACTTCCTAAGGATTCCTAGTTGCACCAGACGGTCTTTTTCCAGCCCAAACTTGCGTGTGATGAAACGCACTGTCAACTGAGTTGAATCACACAAGTTCATTGAACTTGCAACCCCTAAACCCTAAACCCCTAAACCCTAAACCCTAAACCCTAAGCCCTAAACCCTAAACCCCTAAACCCCTAAACCCTAAACCCTTAAGCCGGCCGGCATTGTGTGTTCGTCTGTTCTGAGGTGGCCGACCGGCCCTCCATCCTCAGGCGCCCTGCTGGAACATTTTGGATACTGGGCCTGTGTGGTGTCAACAAAAGTATATATCTCGATCTATCTATCTATCTATCTATCTATCTATCTATTTATCTATCTATCTATCTATCTATCTATCTATCTAACTATTTATCTATCTATCTATCTATCTATCTATCTATCTATCTGTGAGTAGAGCGGGCTTTGGGGTGTGTTATAGTAAAGTATGGTGGCTCGATAAAAACGACGTTTTGCTACTTATTTGGACCTCCATTATCCATTACGGGCTCTTCTCCTGACCTCTGGTTCAGCTCGCCGGAGTCTTGGGTGTGATTCAGCGTTCGCGGCCGTGATTTTTGCAGAGCCCTAAACCTTAAACCCTAAACCCTCGCCTGCATTGCCCGAGTTGCGAGAGTCTAAACCCTAAACCCTAAGCCCGAAACCCTAAACCCTGAACCTTAAACCGTAGGCCCGAAACCCTACACCCTAAACCCTAAACCCTAAACCCCAGTTCCCAGAGCCACGAGACTTTGCGCCTGGCAGGCTCAAGGAGCTCATCCTGAGTGATCACAACAAGGCGGCAGCTCAAAAAAGGGGCATGGGTTCTACATCACATAACCCGGTGTTTTAGGTCTGAGGGTTCAGGGTTTCGGGTTTGGGGTTCAGGGTTTAGGGTTTAGGGTTTTGGGGTTCAGGGTTAAGGGTTTAGGGTTTAGGGTTTGGGGTTTAGAGTCTTGGGTTTAGGGTTTTGCAGCCTGGCCCCTGGCCACGAACCATACTCATACACAGCCCTCGCCGACTCAGCTTCCGTAGTGAACGCAGCATTATTGCGGTTGAGATAGTGGTATAGCATGATCTACCCCTTGGGATTCGTATAGAGTATAACGTGTCCCCGAAGCTCCCCTCGAATCATCAAGGCCCCTATAGTAGGCTCAGAAGCTACGCCCCCAAACCCTGAGCCTTTTTCTGGAAGCCCTAAACCCACTCCTGATTGATTCAGCCCTGAACTCCCTAGCCCAAATTGGCTTTGGGGTCGAAATTGGGTTTGGGGTTGAGGGAGGAAGCGCATATGAACACTAGGGCTAGGGTTAAGGGAGGAAGCGCCTTTGAGAACTAGTAGGTTCTTGCTGGAGGGTTCCCCTGGTTTCGTAAGTCTGTAGTATGGCACTACATGCTTGTGGGCCTTAGTTTTGAACACCCCCTACGATACAGATCGTTGACACACTCTGTTGTAGCACAATTCAGAGAATGTCCTTGGACAATCACATTTCGGATTCCTACTTATGTTTCCTTTAGAAAGAGTGGCGGTTGTTATGCCGTTGTTGTTTTGTAACCCCATTGTGGGGGGAGTTGCTCTGCCTTGTTGTCTCGTGGCTCTCGACTGTTCCCTGCATTGCCAATCCCTCAGCTAAGCAGGTGGCAACACAACAGCACACTTGTGAGAGCATGGCTTTTCCGGACAACCCAGAGAACTGAGTCTCCCTGCTGCGTAGGCCGTCAGCAGCGTGCTGCAGCTCCTCTTCGTGGTCATCATGATCAACCACTATGTAGGCCCGTGACACCTAAACCCAAACCTGAACCCCAAAGCCAGAGCCTAAGCACCAAAGCCCTGCGAACCCAGCGCCCAGAATCATCGTCTGAGGTACGTCTTACCCTCCAGTGTTTCAGCCCTTGGAACCTGTCTCTGCATGATCTGACGTTCCACGGCCCCTCGACCCAAGTGTAAGCCGCAAAAAAGCAAAGTCTGAGCCTCCATGCATTCAATTCGAAGGCACCGGGACCCTGGACTCTTTCACCCGAGAAATGCATTTTCTGCACCACTCCGCGTCTAATGTGTTCCGGGCTTTACCCGAGCCCCGACAACAGCCTGTCAGGCTGTGGCTGGTTTGCCATTGGCCAGGCCCGAAGCCTAGCATCGACAATTCGCAGCAGGAAAATCGTACTTACTGTAGTGTTTAGGAGACTGATATTGTTGGGTGCCTGTTGTTTCAATACTAGTGGTTGCCTAGCGTGATTGCATTGTAGTATAACCCAAAACCTGTTTGAAGAACACAAAGGCCTCTAGGTTATGTCGCCGCGGCAGGTTGACATCAGAGGCCATTCGGGAAGTGGGGGAGTGACTTTTTGCAGGTATGTCAGAGCCTTGGCCTTAATTTCAAATCCGATCTGGGCGAGGGGCATGCCACTACAACAATAATTATAGAAAAACTAAAAAAGACAGGGCCAAGAGTCGCCTCCTCCCCCTCTGCAGCCCAGCCTGAAATCCTGCCTCCCTCGCCTGCCAGCGGCTTCCGGTTTAAGCCTTAGGCCCCCTTGAACCCCCCACCCCAAACCTCAAAAGGCGCCTCTGTTTGATGCTGCCTCTGAGGTGGGAGGCTTCGAGAGGAACTGGATCTCCGAATATCTCAGCTACGAGGCCCGAGCTTCTCTGACAGACCTTCTTGGGATTTGGAGGCTTTGGGGTTGAGGGTTTAGGGGTTAGGGGTTTCGGGTTTAGGGGATTTGGAGGCTTTCGGGTTGAGGTAAACGCCTAAACCCAAAACAACACAACATCTAACTGAATGGCATGCCGCTTCTTGCCGTCACAGTTCTTTCCTGCGTATCTTGACGTCCCCTATGTAACCTCGCTGTGAGCTTCGTTCTCTGCCATACGAGAGGGAGAACAAAAGCCCTAAACTCTGAGAAAGCCCCAAAAGCACTCAGCCCTAAACTTCATAAGATCAACCGTAAACCCTAGTACCCTGCAGCGCGGGCTTCGTCCTAACTAGGTGGGAGGCAAAGAAAGGCCGCATACATCCCCTCACCGTGCCTGGTGTGCTCATAAACTTGGAACTAGAAAGGTGGGCGATTGAAACCGTGGCGTGGCAGGGGTGGAAGTCTTGTGTAGTCGCTTGCTGACGCGTGGATGGTGACTGGACTCCTGTGACAAAAGTTCTGGTTGCGTGAACAAAGTTTGACTCTAAGTCGATAAGTGCCCGGAGTCGAGTGGGATGTTTGGCCCTTGTCTAGATATGTCTCGATCCCTTGTTAGTGTTCATGCGAATGCCACATGACCCTTTTTCGCAGTGTCCAACGTTTAATGTGCTCCCCGACTGAACCCCTGCAAGGTGGGCTTGTCCTAGCTAGGTGGGAGGCAAACAAAGCCTTAAACTCTAGGATAAAGCTTTTCCCCTAAGCCCTGAACTCTGAGGTAAGCCAAAAACCCTAAGCCCATGGATTTTTATATCCCAAGAGGTAGAACCCGGAGGCCCGAATCCGGTTCCTGCACCACTCTACCCTTCCGGAAGAACTACCAATCTCCTTTTTATAGCTACGATTTATTGGTTTAGGGCTTCGGGGTTAAAGGGTTCCCAATTCTAATCACTAAGGCCCCTCCCTGTATTTCCCACCACGTCGACCCGGAAATCAGTTATCTGCGGAGATGAACACTTAAAGGATCAGATCACTCAGGAAGTAGGGGCATCAAGTAACGTGACGAAGATTACACCCACTTGTAACTCCAGCTGCTTATAGTCCTAGTTACGGGTTGAGGCTCATAATAGTATAGGGGAATGAGTAATTAGTAGTATCCCCTACAGTCCCCATAAAGTCTAACCAGTCGAACTAGTCCGTCCCAGAGCCCTGTTCTGAGCCTAGAGGCCCGACAATACATGATTCTTTCGGCCGGAAGTTTTCAACGATGGCTCAATTTTGCTCTAATATAGGTGCCAAAATAATAACCAATCCATAAATTGGGGGTTCCTTATTACAGAAAAATATACCCCAAAACCCTATTCTAATTATTAAGGCCCCTACATTACGAGCTTTTCCCTGAATTCCTTGTGTTCCGGCGCGTGCACGAGCCGGGATGCGGAAAGAAGCTTGTTGAAAGGGGTTTAGGGATTAGGGTTTAGGGTTTAGGGAAAGGCCACTAGGTCTAGTCTGTACAGTACAGGGGTCCCATGGGCCTGTACTTGAAGCCGTACACGCGCAAATGGGAATCACCACCCCTAAACTCTAAACCCCTAAACCCGAAAACCCTAAACCCTACAAAAAACCCTCCGGATTCATGTGTCATTTTGCTCGGACTCCGTGGGTTCCACGAAGACAAGCCTCATGAAGGCCAATAGCTCGCAACGGCCACTTGTATGGAGACGTCGTTCCGCGCTGCACTGAGTCATGCAAAAACCGTCTTCTGTTGCACAACGATCAGAGACCCTCTACAATCGCCCAGTACCATGTACTCGTAGAATGTAGAACCTCTTAGAGCTTAAGGATTCGGATAAGGCTCAGCGTACTCTCCAGATCTCTCCAGGGTTTAGGGTAAAGTCTCAATGCCTGGCAGGATGAGCAGCACGTCGTTGCACAGTATCTCACAAGTGTCTCTGCAGCAAACATGTTATAGTCTACTCGTGGTTTAGGGTTTAGGGTCTACTCCCTCTAAGGATGGCAAAAGCATTCTCATCGCCCTTGCGAA